TTTGGCAGGTAATTTGCATCATTTCATCGCTTTTGGAAATCAGAAATGTGTTCTGAATTTGCAAAATCATGTGTCAGATGTGACTGGGACACAAAAAAAAGGACTCCTAATTTCTGGAATAACCCACATCCACTGTTGTCCTACTTACGATTTTGTTTTGGTAGATTAATCAGGCCAAAGTCTCTGATGATCCTAAACAAAGAAAACATTTTATTCCTATCAAATTTTCAGTTTGTGTACTAAAACCAAGTTTCTATGTGGTACATAAGGCATGTTCAACATCCAAATCTTCACAAATGTTTTTCATCGATTCCAAGTATTTAAAACAGATATAGGAAAAACGTATTGTAACTTTATTTCTGAAAAAAAAGAGAGCTCACTCGGAGTATTAGGATGCAAAAGAGTTGCTACATGTAAGTTTTATAATTGTTCACATTACATTCAACGATCTGTTATCTTCAAATAAGCTCACAATAATGTTTCAAATGAACTATGGTAGAGACACAACAAGGATTACTTTGAAAAATAAATCTGGAGTTAGAAATTGATGCCTATTAAAATTGCTCACTTTTTCCTTCGCTGTCTTTCCTTTTTCCTGGACTGGTGGATGTCTACCGCAGCAAACTTCAGTTCTGGAAAAAAGAAACAAGGATAATTTCCGAGTCACCTGCAATTCTCTTCCTTGTAATCAAGTCACCATGACGACCAGACTGAACATGTAAAGATTGATAAACTAGAAGATGTGTTACCATCCAAATTCTAGGAATGTTTACTTTGGTTCTAGATTTGCTAAATCTTTCAGAGATCTTACCGGTTAAGAGTTTATCATCCTCATTGTGGAAATATATATCTCGCAGATCACATTCAGCATAGTTATCATATTCCTAAAACACAGACGAAAAATGTTATTTTTAGGATACATTGGTAACAGAATTAGAGCCTGTTTTATATTTTTACCAAATATTACTACGCTACTGCTTTCATAAAGAGCAAAACGACCAATTTTAATTTTGTTTTAGAACATTAAAAAGACATTCCGAAAGCACGATTTGTTTCATAACTTACTACTATGAAAACAGTTTTTCTTTGAGCATGCAATTTGCGGTGTAAAATTTACCCCAAAAAAGCTGCCAAAATTTTTTATCTCAAATAATTTTTGTAAAAATGACTTACCGTGTTGAAGTCGCCTCTTGCAGGCTGGTAGCCAGCCATGTCAATAGCTTTCTGAGAATCCCTGATTGGTCGAACTGGATCCTCACTCCCTAAAATAGCCAATTGAAAAGGCCATTAAAGAAAGAACACTCAAATGATCAGTCAAAGATTTCAGAAAAGAAACAGTACAATGCCTAAAACTGCTTAAAAAATCATCAAAGAAACATCAAACTTGTATGGATAGGTATGGACTAGTTCCACTTACATCTGCAAGGTATAGCTTTAGACTGGCCCCCTTTCATCTCCTCAGGAAAGTCTGTAAAAAAGTCAAACAATCAAACTCTCATAAATTCATTCTTAACACACATTCTGCTAAGTCTTTCCATCTTCAATTCAATGAAAATTTAAAAACCACTCAATATATTTTAGGCAGGTTGTCAAGTTTGGCCAATCGATCTTACCAGGAAATGGTGGCTTGACATTCTCAATGTAGATCTTGCTGTAATGTTGTTCGCACTCTTGCCTGCTCCGTCCAGGAACCTGATTGGCTATGTCCTGCCTGTTCATTTGAATATTTATGACCAAAAAAAAAGCAATGGTTAAAATGTTGAAGTTTCACACGTAAACTTACACAGGAATGCTTCCCCAAATACACAGTCTTGATTCTGCCGTATGAATTGTTCCCAAGCTCTTGCTCTTTAATTTTAATAATTTACCAGTTTCCAATTCCACAGTCTCCGATGGCATCCAGTAGTTTCATCTCGTCTTTGGCAGTCCATGTAGGGTCTAACACAGAGAATTCATTTGTCTGAAATGTATAGAAGCCAACACGGGCAACGTCTGAGTCTGTCGGCTTAGAATCGACACTCTGTGTCCTCTTTTAATCTCGGCTTATTACCCGTCTTTGGTATAATAAACACTACCAGTTGAACTACGTTGGAAATAGGTGAATTTTTTAACTTTGACTTCCCACAAAATGGCTACATTTTTCTGGGGCGAGAACCAAAGCTGTGTTAGGTATGACGATCTTATCTCTGAGAAGAGACCATCTGCGCTGACTTGCAGGACCCCCCACCAGCAAAGAAGCGACAAGTTGGTGGAAATAAGCCTTTTGCAAGTTAAACTTGAATAAAATCTGGTACACTGAGTTCTTTCAATTCACATGAACACCCAAGTGTGTAGTTGCCTGCAACTGGGGACCCCCTACTGTTCCTCTTTTGTTTGTACTTTAACTTTTTTAGAAGACCACCCATATGTTTTGTACACAGTTGTCAATCGGGGACCCTCTGTCAATCGGGGAACTTATTGTCCTCTATTGTTCAGGGTCCCCAATTGAATGCAGAAACAAGCTCATAACATTTGAATTCTCCATACTAAAGACACTGTTGCTATACCTCGTGACTCGGGGTAAGCTTTTGCTTAGTTACATAAGAGACGCCTTGCAACAATACACTGTTCTCAATGGATAAGAAGGGCACAAAGGAACCAGTCCATTCCAGAGATGGCGGTCACTATTAAGCAAAAGCTTGCCCTGAATCTAGTGTCTTTAGTCTGGGGAATTCAAATTCCCATGTTTATGCACAATCAAATTACTCAGTGTACCAGATTTTATTCAAATTTAACTCGCAAAAGGCTTACTGGTTCTTGATGGCTCCACTGCGCATGCAGAGATCATACATCCTGACACAGATCGGTCAAGTGTGAGTCAAAAGCTCTCATACACCTGTGCATGGATGCAGTCAGCTCCTGCCAAAGGACCATCACTGCCATGTAAAAGCACGCCATCGATTGTGCCCGCACAGAGCGGATAAACTCACAACACTGAAAACATGGAGATAAATGATTTACCAAACACTGAGGCACTTACGATGATGTCGTAGTTGTGGCTGCTTTGATGTTTGCTGTTCTCCCATCCTTTAGAAAAACACTAAGAGAAAAGTAACATGAAGGCAGAATTCATTTCTTTATTTCTATCACAGGCCGTGGAAAATGTGAATCAAGACTAAACATTTTGGGGAAGAATTTCAAAGTAAAAGATTCCTCTTACGTGGAGGCAGATGTTAAGGTAAGGTGGCCCACAGACCATGCATCGGATGTAAGGCTCTATGAGGTAAGTGGAACAGCCTGGGCACGGCGGCTGATGATCAACAGACATGTGCAGGGGGTGGAAGGCAAGAGCTGAAAGGAAAGACCCAGGCTAGGTTCATGTAAATAATGTAAAGATGCAAATATTGCAAAAATGTGTTGTGATATCACGAGTAGTTTACATGTATCCTGTAATCACAACCAGTAACTATGACTCCGAAACGAACAATGGAAGTTTCATTCATACAAGGGGTTTCTTTTAAAACACTGAAAAAGAAAGATGGAATTTTGTATGATAACCCTAACTGCCAAGCATATTGTTTGGCTTTCACTTCACAGTACTACAAAATACTAAGTAATAGTCTGAGCCTGAAGGACCTAGCGCTACAAATTACTACTTCTGGCTAGCTTACTTCCATTGTTACTTGTACAGAGAACAATAAAGCCATGCATTCATAGTGCCACAGCACTGTATGGTACATTGTCTTATCTATTGTATCTTAATTTGTAGTATTATGTAGGGTTAGGGTAAAAAACAGAATGACAAAATAATATCTGCGATTTGAATGAAAAAAAAATAAACAAAAACAGCTCTGTAAATTATCTATCCTTTTCATTTGCAGTGCCATTTTGCAATGCTTTCACTGTAGCCACGGTGATGACAAATGTGTTCATGAACCATGGTTAAGGTTTCCATACTAACTCTGCAAGAAGCCACTGTCATGACTGTGCACTGCCACTGAGCCTAACAAGTATATAAATTTATTCCTTTCTTTATGTGAGCTACTCTTATCATTGACAGTAAAATATGGACGCCAGTAATTATTCCCAACTGTGACCTCTTAGTCGTCAGAAAGCAAAAACACGTCCAGAAAACTTCCCAAGATAATTGCAGGAAAGTAAGTCTCTATTTTATTTTTCATTATATTTTTTTCTGTAGTTGTATTCAGATAATCATCATGTACATGTAAAATGCTAATATTTCATCTTTGCAGTCAAATCTAAAATAAGTTAATAACATTGACAAAATTTGTGTGAACTTTTTTTTATTTTGCATCGGTACATGTAAATCTGATACCAAACTAACATGGACAGAACAGTAACCTGAAAAAGCAAACCAACCGAGTACGTCCTAATTAATAAATTAGTGAATTATTGAGGTAATAAAGTAATTATGCACTTAATTACATGTATAGAACATCCAAACAAGGATGTATTAGACACTTTACAATCAATCAGTAAAAAAAAAAACTGAAACTTTCACGCAATTTCTTTAATCTTACAAAAGTACTCATAATCATATACATGTGCCGTTCTCTTGCTGTTCCGATCACAACATTTTGTGTGTGTCCATAGACAAACTACAGGGAAGAATATGCGTATTTTTGGGTATGAAAGTTATACCATGCACGATATGTGGCAACGAACTCTACACCTGTGCTTTGCATCACTGCTGCTTGCTACAAAACTGTTTACTGTTCTTTTTTTGGTGAGATTAATTAATACAACACGAGACCAATCAGGGAACAAGACCAGCAGCGCTTAACATCGACCAAGTTGGCCGGGGAGGGTAGCAGGCAAAATGCTACTCCACTGACATGTGGACAAACGTGCTGGTATTCGCTGTTACACAGGGCTAGGGTAGGTTGAAAAGGAAGGGGCCAGGGCAGAGTACCAGGAAAAAGACAAAACTGAAGTTGAAAAAGCCAATGCACGGCAGAACATATGAACACATGTACACTAAATTGCATGAGCAGTATGGCATCCGTTAGCTGGTAACATGTTGTGGAATGCTGGTACAGTACATGTATAAGTACATGAGGGCACCAGTGGAAGGAGCTTTCTTTAAAGCGCATGCATCGACCTGAGTAGCAGTAGCATCGCTGCATGGCATAGGCCTGAGATCCGTTAGCCACATATCGTACATCAAATGATGACAGTAGTCATAACTTTGTTAATAGTAAAGCCATGGGATTGAATGGGGTATCAAATGAAAGGCCTTGCAACGCTTTATCCAATGGGATTACTTTCTGGACTCATTTTAAATTTCTCAACATTTTTTTAACATCCCTATGCACAGAACATGCAGGATGTAGCTCTACTGAGTGGAACATCAGTACTATTCCTGTTTTTCAATTTTGGACAGGATCGTCATACTAATGCTCCACACCCGTCCATATAGTAAGGTGAAAACGGTTCTCAACAATTCCAAAGACACACCAAAAATACCTCTATCACCACCTCCTGGCTTCTGTAAATGCCAACGTCAAACAGTTGGGGCTTCAATATTATTTCTGACTTTAAAATCTGTCTAAATCCGACTGTTTTCACTCGACATACGCACATGTAGACAGGTAGAGTTTCTGGCGCAATAAGTCTATGAACGAACATGATCTTCCAAGACGTATGCATGAAAGGGCTTTATGTGATCTGGATACAAGACTTCTTGTTGTTGGGAGTGCTACCAACGACTGTTTCCTGGTCAATACGTCTTGTGCCCTGACTACATATGGGCCTCTCCCGTGGTTTCCTTGGAGGACCATGTTCGTCCATAGACTAATTACACCAGAAACTCTACGTGCCCGTATTTGAATGGGAGGAGGCAGCGAAAAGTTTAAGTGCTATGCGTGTGTCAAGCGAAAGACAGATTTTGAAGTCAGAAACATTATTGAAGCCCCAACCGTTTGACGTTGGCATTTACAGAAGCCTGGAGGTGGTGATAGAGGTATTTTTGGTGAGTTCTGGGCATTTCTGATAACCGTTTTCACCTTACTCTATGTAATGTCGTGGAGCGTTAGTATGACGATCCCGTCCAAAATCGTTAACCCTAACCCTACATAGTACTACGAATTACTAGTTGTAGTAAAATGTAGTATTCAGCCCTGTCACTTGTAAGAGGATGTGACCTTATTGTTCTCTGAAGCCATAAGATAAAATAGAAAAGACAATGTACCATACAGTGCTGTGGCACTATGAAAGCATGGCTTTATTGTTCTCTGTACAAGTAACAATGGAAGTAACCTACCCAGAAGTAGTCATCTCTGGCGCTAGGTCCTTCAGGCTCAGGCTATTACTTAGTATTTTGTAGTGCTCTGTAGTGTAAGTCAAACAATATGCTTGGCGGTTAGGCCTAGTACTAGTAGTAGAGCTAGCCTATGCATGTATGCAGGATGTCAAGTGGCATCCGCATAATGGAACTCTTTCCTCGAAACTAGTTGCCGATACAGCTGCACCTGAACGGTAGGCCTATTCCTACTTTATCATTTGAAAGTTGTAATCACCAATACAGAGCCAAATATTGCTTGACACGGCCAGTACTAGGCCCTACTACTAAAAAAAGAAGTCGAACCTTCCAATTCTACCGACTCTTGCCTCCTCAGCCAGGCCCATATGCGTCGTTAGTTTGCGGTAGTCGTGTCAAACTCAACTACGGTCAATCAAATAGCGGAATGCCGAAGATTCTTACCCATGCTGAAGGAATCTGGCTGGAAAGGTCTCTTCTACGCACGCGATGGCAACCTCCCTGACTTTCCAAGACGCTCATAAAAGAAAATACTTGGACGTATCACGGTGAGAATCACGCGTTCGCTGTCGACATTTTACTTTTATTCCGGCACCTGCTAAGCGCCCTCATGCGGCGATGAAGGATCAGGCCCTTACTGGGGGTAAAGGTTACAATTTGCATATATGCACTCCCATTGGTTAGGCCGGAATATGAATACCGCAGCGATCCGATTGGCTGCAAGTAGCAGTTTCCAAGAAAACCGCAACAAATAAAGTTCGTAATACCTTGCCACCTGCTCTGGTGTTGTATTACAACTTCTTCCATCTGGCAACAGCCACCATTTCATTGTGTACTCACGAGAATCAAGACTATATTTTAGTCACTCATTGTTTACGTTTCCTTGCAACAGAAATGGTTTCACCAGCATGTTCGAGTGCTTTTCTTGAGAATCAAACCCAAAGTCATCGCCAGTCTTCTCTCTCATTTAGAGTTAAAGAAATCCCCTAAAAAGGGGAAACTAAATATCATTGAATACATCACAAACAAACACCTTACAGATGTTTGTTGTGTACACTGCACCTTCATACTTACGACAAACTTAAATGATTGGTAATGTTAATTAGCCACAACAGGTGCGGTTTGACTTTATTTTCTCCCATGCTTATCAGCCCCTCCTACGACCTGTAACCAGTGATTTCCACTTTTACCCAAATCACAACGCCCAGAATCAATTCCTCAGGCCATCCTCTGTCTGAACAAAGATTAGTAATACATGTACATACATCTAGTCAAAATGGTAAAGTGAAAAGATGATGTATTAGCACCAAACGCCTTGAACTAAAGATGGAAGTGTCTTGAACTTATAAGTGAACTATATGTAACATGACATGTAAAATGTCAAAATGATATCCCGTACACTTATTTCTAAGTTGCTACGTAATTTTTTTTATTCATTCTTTGTGGCAAGTTTATCCAATAAACCATATTGCACTACACTGAGACACGAAGAACAATTTAACAGTTTGACAAAGTAAAAGAGACCTACGGTAAAACACATACTACAAGTACATTGTGAAATTGCACTAAAATGCGTCACGGTACATCTATCGTAAAAGACACTATCAAGTAGTTCTAACAATCATAACCCTTTTGCATATATATCATTTCATAAACATGTACAATTGAGGAGCAGTTTTGGTGGATGGGATTTACGTTGTGGGCGCGCTGAGAGTTGCTTCCATGAAGAGTTGCCGCAAAGGTCTCGTTTCCATCTTTGTTGAAGCTGAAATCAAAATGTACGAGGGAAAAAGAAAAGAACAAAACAAGCAATCTGTGAACAGAAGTCTTGAAAACTTTGGATGAATGAGCACTGAGTCTCATTTTACCTGTCCAGCCATTTCAGTGGAAAGAATTCCTCACTGAGGAAAACCCTTTGGCCTTTAAAAAAAATCTGCACCTTTTGATAACTCAGCTATGATGTGGCATTACAGGGCATAATTTTAATTTGATTTTAAAATGTAGCAGAATTTCGGAGTTCAAAAATTACACTAACATCAGCATACTTCAGATTTCGTACATACAGAAAAACCTGATCTTGACCAGCTCTGCTCTGATAAACCAATCGAAACAAATAATGAGCTGACACAAACTGAAGCTTTATCCCAATCTGTTGTCTAGAGCTAGGTCTAGGTCTTTGCTCCATTGGAAATTTGCAGAGACGCGTAACCAAAAGACCTAGCCGTAGCTCTGGAAGCCCCTTTCGGACACGGCCTGAACAACAATACTTTCCCGCGAGAGAACAAATAATCAAAATATCTGAATACGGGTGATTCACAATAGCGCGCCACCAAGAGTTTGCAACACGTTGTCCAATCAACGCGCGAAATTTGTTGACCCTTTCCAAACACGCATTGGGTCCACAAATTTAGTGCACTGTAATTGGCTAACGTGTTGCAAACACTTGGTGGCGCACTATCGTGAAACGGCCGTATTGAGAAATGCATGAAGTAGTATTGTGGGCTTTGTTTGGTAACCTCGGCAGGCACCAGTGTCGTTAAATGTGTCAGAGAAGGTACCAACCTAAAAAACATAATACATATTTACATCAAGCACTGTTCAGCGGTTATGAGGTTTGGTAAACAGCACAATTTGGGTGATTGTTCCATCAACCTGACGTTCAGTCTGTTTAACACTGTAGCTATATTCAGAAAAATCTATCACATAATTCTTGATGCTTCGAAACGAAACTTTGATTTCGGTGGCTGGAGGTTGGAACTACTTTACGGCTGCTATAGTTGAAGTTTAGCTGAGGCAAGCCCTTTGGCGTGCACACTATTAATATAACCATTAAAATATTCATGAATATGAATTATATGAATATGAATGAGGCCAAGTATGCATTAGTACTTCCTATTCTTCAACATAACATACTAAACATTTAAGGGACCTCAAAATTGAAATCACTTCTTGTACTATTTTAAGTAGCTGAGATGTTAGTTTTTTAAAACTTTATCAAAACATGCCAAGCGGTTACTTAATTTATACATTTTACAGCATCTTTATCAAAAACCTGGCCTTTTTGTTCTCAAGAAAGCACACACAAAAATCTGAAACTCTGTCCTGAAATATATACTTACTGCATGCAGAAATGTTCATATTATTCTATTCATTTCTCCAATCTCGACATTTTACAATATCTGGTCATGAATTATCCATTTGTACTTATGAAAAAGACCGAGATTTGTATTTAGTCGTTGCTTAAACTTTCATCTAAATAAAAAAAAATTGTTTGCATAGTTACAGAAACAGAAATGAACCACTGTACAAAGTTGCCTAACTCTTGGGATCTACCTTGCTTTTATCAAATTGTCAGGGAAATATGAAAAAAAAATTAGCAATAGTTCCAGTGACCCCATCGGAAAAGTAGAACTGAATTTTCTTAGTGTCCAGCAAACTTAAAAACTTATCTGTGAGGTTAATTAATTACTTGAAACTCATTTTTGAAGAAATTCTCTCTTCTGAAACAAGCTCCTAACTTTATGGCCACTGAGGTTTTCTTTTTAATTATCAGAGCAACTATGACCAGATGTTATATTTGCATATATGCATAAATTGTGCACACGCCCACACAAATCTGCATCCAAAGGAAATCGTTGTGATAAATAAATTATTCATTTTCATTTCAACATTAATATTTACATAACATGCAACAGATTGGGCAGTAAAGTAGGACAAAATTTGTAAACAAATCAGGATACACGTGATAAATAAAGCTCAAAAATTCTATTTACACTTCTATAAGATATCTACAATAAATCTTTGAATTTTTAAGTACGTGATATGACAGTCTTTATCTTGGTGTAATGTACTCAACAGTAAGCAGTTCGTCTGATTTTCCTGCACGCTGTACGTGTAATGCAGGCAAACGAATGAATGACAGATGCTTGTTTGTGTTTCCAGCATCAAACAAGAGCCCGAGCATCAAGCACATGACCTAACTGCCTTTCAGAAGCAAGCACCTACGAATCATTCTGTGGTGACACAAAAGAAGAATTATTGCTGTACAAAAGGCAGATGGCGATAGTGTATGCATGCTGCCAATACTACTACGCTGTGCATTACAGTACTTCCAATTTAGTACTTTATTTTGATTCATGAAACTTTCTTGCCGCCTCATTCGCATTTCCAAGGCTAACTGTTGTTTTCCTCTGAAAGATGTGCTTCAGAAAAACAGCGAAATCTGACCTAACATCAATGCATGGCGTGTAACGTGAAGAGTCAACTCAAGACGTTGTACAGAAAAGGCGCAGTTTGGACTTTTGGCCAAAACTTTGTTTGGCCAGGGCATTCTTTTCTCCAGATGTGATTTCGCAGTTAAAAAAAAATTTAAAAAAACTAAATCCTAAATACCCGACTAAGAAGTTGATAAAAATACTGTTTCGTCAGCCCCCTGCATAGTCCCTAAGTTTTATAATGATCTATTGAAATGACATAAGGTTCAAAACTTTAATGAGAGGACAACATGTACCTGTACATTTGCCGTACTTAAATGTCTTTAAAACATTGCTGTTAGAAATATACTACCTAAATAATTAAGGTAAGTGGAAAGTTATCTGAGAATCCTGAAAAAAAATGACTCATTGACAATTGTCTACCTTGGACAAAAGCTTCCAACCAATGACATGGCATTATAGCTTTCGACAGTCAAACAAAGAAAATAAATCTTAAAGACTATTGAATTTGTTTCTCCCTTTTTCTATATTTAAATATAAAAGTATTGCTGTGCCGACACATGTTTCAGCATTTTACGAAGCACCTGCTTCCATTAAAATGCCAGTGTACAAACTTCATCTATTATAAGAGCTCATTTTTCTATGTCTTTGTAAGTATCAACTGCGATATTCCAACTATTCAAAGCCATGTCCACACTTCATCTTAAATATATTTACAAGAAAAAATCAGAAGAAATAGATTTGAATCAGGTAGAACATTATTATCGGGAGTCACACGTGTTATGCTACACACACTTTGAAGTTTGTACGATTTCACAAATGTTCAAACTTTGCATATTTTGTTCTTCCGCGACTTGTTGAGGTTTCAGGGTTGTTTGATTTTACTGAGATGGCGGTACAGGCTCTGGACGTACGTGAAGACACACTTCCAATCTGGCTTGTTCTTCATCATGATCATGTCGTCTGTCTCTAGCAACGGCATGACGTCCCCGTGTTTCCTGTGAGCAGAGAAAAGAAATTCAGTTCCAAACAATGACACAAGCATCCAATAGAATCAGCCCCTGCCAGAGTACTTTCAAACGAATTCATACATGCATCCCACATTTCACACAAGCACCAGACTGACAATTTTGCCAGACACTCGGAAGTATTCATTTTTGCAAAAACTGGTTACCATGTGGTATCTTTTCCAAGTCACTGGTTCTCTGAGTACCAGTGGTCTGCACACAAACTCATTAAATAAGGTCCCCCTTATTAGATCCATAACAACAGTCATTAAGCTGCAGGATCATGTTTTGTGTGCAGTGTCCAAGTATACTCCAGTGCAAAGAGAAATCAATTGTCTAAGTTGTCCAGCCTATGGACATCTGCACGATGGCCACTAAAGACTCTCTTTAAGGCTGCTATCACCAAAAGGAACCCTGACCATGTTTTGAGAACACGCATTCTTTGGAAGGACCCAATCCTCTCACAACGACCACACTTACTCTGCCGATTCAAATGCGAGGTCAAAGTTCTTTCTCCGGTTCTTTTTATCCAGTGTGTCAAAGTCGAACGCGTTGGGGAAGTGGTAGTGGACGATGGCGCAGAACGCCATTCCGTCTGCCCAACTGGAAGAGAAGTTGTTGATCTGCACCTCCTGTTAGCAAAAAAAAAACCGAATGGAACAAGTCGATGACTGCAGTTTAATTAAAGGGAAACCTGAACCTGGAAGTCAGAAATTTCATAATCAGGTTAAATATCATGCCAATTTCCTTTGTTAGCAGAAATCTTTCCCTGTATTTATTTTGTGATTCATCAGATGATTTTATTTTTCTATAAAGTGAAGTCATTTTTGTACCCCTTTGGCCAGTTTTAAAAAGCTGGTCAACGGGTTAGAAAACAGGCTCACTGTAGCACACTTGGCACGAAAGTGAACAGAAATGCAGTACTGTATGAAGTCGCTTCACTTTTGCATTTGCTTGAAGTATCAACTGGACTTCACTTCAACGACTAGTGACATCTAGCAGTTGACAGAGATTTGCTGCGTCGCTGCGCTACATTCTACCATATGCTTTGCTCGAAGCGCGTACCGGATAGCCGCGGGCGCACCGCTGGCACCACTCCAACAGCTTCTGCTTGATGGTGCTCGCGTTAGGCACCGCTTGCATGCCGGTCCCTTTGCCAAAGCCCCCACTCTCCGCGTCCGCCTTGCCCCCAAACTTGTTCATCAGCGCCTCCTTCTTCTTCTTGGCCGCTTCCATCTCTCTCTTCTTGCGGTCAAAGTCATCTTGCTTCCTGAAGACGGAAAAAAGAAAGTCATTCGAGGCTTACCAAGCCCTTTACAATGAGCCACTTAAGTGTTTATAAATACCCATTATTATCAGCAGCACTGATACAACTTGCAAATTGTCTGGGCCTTTTTGCTTGTTTTTAAAACACACTGTCCCCCTTTCTTGATTCTCCAGGTAAAACTCCTGTGGACTTTTGGAAGTGTTATTGGTTGGAAAAGTGCCGTTATCAAAGGGGAAATTGCAAAGTTGGAAGGAAAAAATAGTATACTTCTTCGCCATGTATTCCTTCCAGTTCTTCTCATCTTCTGCTCTCTTCAGTTCTCGTTGTCTTTTCTTCTCCTCCATTTCTGCCTCAAACTTGGTCACTAAAATGGGGAAAAAGCCACAAATTGATAGTTTAAGAACAATTACTGGGGAAGGACCTTATGAGACAACGCAAACACCTGCCAGATCACTAATATCAGGCACTTAATGAGTTTTTCTGCAGACACCGCTACAAACAAATTGCCGCCCATCTTCTTGATTTCAGAGTGCAGGGCACCAGCGAATTACAAATACCAATTACTTACATTTCTTTGCGGCAGGGGTACCGGTGCTGGAGGAAGTGGACACGCTGGAGCTTATACTCGAACTCTTCACCGAAAAACTACTGCCGCTACCCGACTCTGTGTGACAAAGTAAAACATCAAGCCATTATTTCAGGGCAAACAGGGTCCTGATATGGTCGATTTGTAACAACTGGCATAAGTGTCGAACAGTGAGTTTATTTCAATAAAACCTTGCAAGGAATCTCACTGATATCCTAAGATAAGGACCCAAATGACCAACTCTTGGGACTTAAACCTTCAACTGCCCAAAGAGATAAAGAAATAGATCCACCTAATACTAAATCCTGCAAAACCGTCACAAAAATTTTGAAAGATCTGGGTTATCAATAACAATCCTCAATCCCTCAATAAGAATGCAACGTCCAGACACCCTGAGGGATATGGGTTCAGATTTTTGCAAGACCATTCATTTCAACCTCAGTAGAACATTCTGCAATAGCTACAGGCAAAGACATTTGTGTCTCCGAATATTAAAACTAATGACACATACATGAGAATGGGAGAAAGTGAAGAATTCAGATGGAAAAAAAAGAAAGAAAACAATTTAACCAAAGATGAAAAACCCTCCTACCTTACTTTCTTACTGAACAATCAAAACTCTCTCAAATTTTCAAGTGTTGAGATATCATGGAATAGAGAGTCCCCGTTAGTACATAAAGTAATGGAACATTTCTATTCTTACCGCTTGTTTTTCTCACAAGGTGAGAATTGAATTTATCTATTTTTTTTTTAATACCGAATCTTCAACTGTACAAATTTCACAAGTTTTCCTTTGAGTGCCAATTGTTAATTATTGAGAGGATCTTCTGGTGATATTCCAGGCATGTTTCTCTGTTCAAGAGCCTACCTTCTTTCTTCACTGACATCGTCTGTTGATTCATACTTTCTGATTTTGTGCCTTTATCTATTGACAAAAACAGAGAATGGATTAGGTATATCAAATCTGTACTAGGTTCAACAGTAACCTTCTTGGGAATGACTGGCTACTCCATCGATAAAATCAATATTCAAAGCCAAACAAAGCTTTCCATAGCTTTTAGCCATGTCAGCATAAGTGCGCCTGTAAATTAGGCCAATGGTTAAGACATCGCTTATACAGAAAACCAATGGAAAAATGCAATATTAGAATCTGCCCTTGGACTATTCCTATCAAATTTCAAGAAATCATTTAGCCTAATGCCCTGAGCCTAACTGGTGCAGAGAGTGACAATAAAAGGGATTTTGTTGTAACAAATTTAGTCAAAACTGACATCTTATAGTATAGGTTCACACTAGATCACCTTCAGATTTGCTGTGCATTGTTGTGGTAACTGTCTTGGACCCAGGACCTTCGATGACAGTTGTCGTCTTGGTCGTCGAGCTCTTACCCTCTTTATCCTCGATTGTTGTCGACGACGTTTTGGGCGCCACGATGATGGTGTTGTTATTGAGGGGGGTTTTCTCCACGGTCGTCGTTGTGTCCTTCTTGATGGGCACAGTCTTGTCAAATGCTTTGAGGCGGTGGGCCTTGGACTCTTCCCTGTAGGACAGGATGTCATCCTGGAGGGACTTCTGCTGGGCACTTATTTGCTTGTCCATTTCCTCTGTGATCAATTTGGCAAAGGAAATGTAACTGATACTCAAAAAGGTCGGTGAAGTTTAAAGCGCATGCTGAGCGGGGGTGAGCAGCATATGTACATGTGTCGCTTCTATAAACTATGACACTCAGCTGGTTCATGCAGTAGTAAGTCGGATAATGCCACAAAACTTCAAGATGCAAAAGAGCCAAACATTACAGTACTTCAACTGAATTTAAACGCTTCAGGCCCACAATCGGGGATTGGTTTCGGAGACGAAACCTGAGACAGAGACGAAGTTGAGCATTGGAAAACGACCTAACAGGCCCTTCAGAGTGGCCATTATCAAGTTCAACATACTGTTGGCCTCTGCAGGCTTCTTAGACTTTGTATGTGCACCCAACAAACGGTGTACAAACATGCAAGTCACTGAGTGGACCTCCGAGCAAATGAAGTCCACACAGTGGAGGCAGCAAAGACCTTGTGTGGACTTGCATGCGTCCACGTAAGGTTTTCCCCTCTGAAAAGACAGGTTTAGAAGCATATTGGGATTAGAGTTTGCATGTCTATGTGTCGCAACCTGCAGAGGAACACTTCAAGGAACTCATCGTCAAAAATCTAGCTCAAAAACGCACCAGAAAAACGAGTATTTTCACCTAGATTTTCTTGACAACATGAAAACAAAGCCATTACACACCAGGTACATGTAGGTGATGCTAACATGTGGATTAGCATATCTAAACATTGGCAGGAGGCGAGTTGAGGCAGGCTTGCCCACCCCCCCCAGTGTGCACAGATACAAGATCATGTCTAACATGCCCTCCTGGCACGATTTTTTTTTTTACACAGATAACCACCTCTATTCCCTGAGGTAAAAAAAACCTGCAAAAATGAAGTCCGTGTGATTAAAACTGTTACAGCCCAATTCCTCCAACACTGTCAGGTACATGTAAATGTATCTCCCCAGTCCCAGGGACCAGACTTGTTGAGATGAAGACGCGCTCGATGGTGACTAATTGAGCCATATACCAAGGGTGAGGCAGGCACTGCTGTCTGCATGGCTCTAGACTGAGTCACGGAAAGACATGCCAAATTCTTACATGCACCAGTCTGTCTGTACGTCAGAATATTGACCGGCACTTTGTGATGAGGCAACAAACTATTCTGTTCCTGTAAAATGTCCAATCATGTGCTACGATAACACATGCTTCGTCCATTTTCGCAAATATAGAAAAAAATGCACTGCAAAACTCCCAAGGGCAACACCCCCAAAAAGCGCACACCTTACATGGAGCCGAGTTGCAGTTAAAACCATTATCCTCATCATGATCACTTAATGATGACTTTGCTATGGGTTTATAGGAACTAACGCCTTGTGAGTGTTGACTCTATTTTAGCAGAATGGGCCATAAGCTCCTGCAAGTCACTAATGGATGTCTATGTCTGTCAATTTTCTACTTTCTCTTGCTGCTGTACGCTGGACTTTGCCCATTTACACTGAAACCAGACTGCTGTGAAAGCATTCTCAGGTTTTTACCTCTCTTCTTCTTGCGGATCTCTCGTAGTTTGGCTCGGATCTTTTTCCGTTCCTCAAACTCTGAGGCGGCCTCCAACTGTGAAAAAAAACACAGCCAAAATTGAAATATATTATATTTTATTTGCTACGTTTAAGAATTTCTTAAGTAAAATATGACAAAACAAGACAAAAAGGAAGCAAAATGTCGAAACAAATTTGACAACAATCTATAAGACTTTCCAAACACCAAATCACACAAGTAACCAAAGGTAAATGCAATGCATATTTCTGAAAATTCAAAATATAACACTTTAGATGACGTATATTTCCAAAGAGCATGATGACATCACACCTACAATCAAATTAAAAAAATTGCAATGCACCCTAAGTCATCAAAGTTCCAATAAAACCCAATGTTCATTTTTTTTTTGTATACACCGCCAGCAGAGTTGCCAGAATTTTATTTAAATTGTGCCCATTCTTCGGGTCCGACTTCGTGTTAGCTGTCCAATGAAATATCCCTCTCCTAATATCGCCATTTTCTATGATGCGAATATCTCCCTGATAACCATCGCACCTGTCACGTGCCGGTAATCACGGCCCACATTCCGCTCTCCGCGGGACGCCCGCCCAGGCCAGAATAAGGTCCCTTGCATTTTTTTTCTCCTCCGCCCCAATTTCGGAGCAAGGTACGCAGGCAACATTTGCTGTCTCCTCACAGTTGGGGGGATAGTCTGTCACAGCACACGCCATTTAAAAATCACGGGATGATCTCTAACTGGCTCAATTTTTAAGTCCCGCACAAGAGAACATTTTAAAATGTGCTGGTTGAAATTTAGTTTTGAAGATCTGATTTCTGAATCTTCACAACTTTGTACCGTAGGCAGAACTACAATAAAATTCTTTCTGTCCACAAAAGGTTTGCTTCCTGCCTAAATAGTTGGCTTCAATGTGTCTACATGTTTTTCTGGTGGATAATTTGGCCAAATAAAAAAAAAAGAACACAGTCAAATTTCCAACTATTAGAATATTCACCGGTAAACGGCGGTAACCTTTCAAATGACAAGCACATTTTCATGACATACATGTAACTAAGGATCGGATTTGGATTGGATCCAAACCCCTTTCGGCTTTTTTGCTGGCACCCAAGTGGCACAGAACACGTGCGGAAGCAATGCCCAAACAAATGGTGACCGAAAAATAATCCGCAAGCCCAAAAAAATAATGCCTAATGAAGTAACAGAATCTGCAAATCGGGAACAAAAAGATTTGCTGCTTTTGCTTTCAACATCAACAAACACAGTAACAGGGGCAAGTCATGTAGGCAGTGTTTCCCCCATGGTTGTTAATTTCTGCAAGTGTTCCAACACCCAACCTCACTCCATACGTCTCAACAGACATTCAGGCTGTGGGTTGAACGAAAAAGTAGAGTACTTCATGTTCTTACAAAGCTGCTATTCCCTATTGCTGTCCACAACAGATGGAGCAAAATGTATCTTTCAGTTTTGACATTAAAATAAACACTGATTTTTATTTTACAACAGAAATGACTTTCTGGTCTCAATCCAGTTATGACCTCCACACTTGATCTCATGAAGAACAGGTTGTGGAGTGCTCAAGGCGGGGCGAAATTGTAAACCCGTCAAGGAAATAGTTCTAAAATGATGGCTAATAATGGCCTCCTTTACCGAGTTTTGTGCCTTTCTGCAACTACATCCATCAGGAAATATTGACCATTTGGTATAGGCAGGGCCGGTGTGAATGGGGCTACGGACGAGATTCTCATTCGGAGAACACTTTTGAATAAGTCTCACCATCTTCTCCAAGGCTTCTTCATCTTCGATATCATCCACCGGTGGCATCTTGAGCTTGGCTTCCTCTCTCCTCTCCGTCGGTGATTTCCTCCTGGGCTGGTTGGTCTTGTCAAGAACTGATCTCAGGCCTACTTGGTCAGCAGACGGTGTCTCGGTGCAATGCGAGGTCCCCAAACTTGCCTGAAATTTGGAAGAGGACTGTGAACAAAACAGAACCAAACCGAGGCTATGAAAAAAAATTGCCATATTGGAAAGTTTTGTAGTGTTAATATTATATGCACAAGGAAATTGCATTTTAAAATTTTTTTATTTCACAAATTTTGCCATACGCTCTGTATTTCATATTTTCAAATGGGCTGACTTCACATTTATGCTTCAGCATATTTGTGAAAATTTATAATAAAAATCGCTAAGAAATGCTAGTAAACTTGGCAGTAAACAAAATCCAGTAAATGTGTGCTGACAAAAAAGGGATTTCCGTTTGACAAATGAATATCTTGGTATTAACAATTTTAACATATTCAAAATGAAAGTGGACTGTTCCTAAAACTCTATCAAGAAAGAATGAACATACAAGTATTATTAAAAAAATTCCCTGCAATTCATAACACCAGACAAAAACCAGGTTGTTTTTGTTTGAGACAGAGTGTAAACTGAGCATTGGTTACGAGGTTTAGACTATGAAATAAAGCTCTCAATCCCAGTTTGGGGGTTACTCCTAGCAAGTATTAACAACGGCAAGCCATGACATCTACAAAAATGCAAACGTTATTCTAGCAGGGCCAGGGACAATGGGTGACATTTCCTGATGGCAGATGACATACTCCAGGCCACCTGGGCAAATGCTCCACACTAATTTGTAGGCGATACATTTCTGGAATGCCAGGAACCCGTCAAAACATGGAATGATAATCTTCCATATAGTACTGTCTCTGACAATCAAATCTACTGGCTGTAGGTTACTGGATCTCACATTTCATGGCAGTGGTACATTAATAACACACACTTAACCTCAGAAGATCAAGCTCCAATAAACATAAGTTCCTGACTTGGCAAACTTCCTTCACATCGGATATTTTTATGTGTGAAGAAGATACCCTCTAGTGAAAAGATAACCATAACTTTCCTGACCTGTCATTTTACAATCTCCCATTCTTATGCAGGAATTTCTGACAATCGTTTTGAACGATTTGTTTTTGAAAAAAAATCAAACGAGTCATTCAAATATGCTCAACCAAAATGGCAAGATCTTTCACAATGCAGATCAAAAGTAAAAATGTAAAGTTCTACTAAACTACTTCTGATTTTGTAAAAATGTTACCCTCAAAATGCAAAAATTCTACCTAGAGGCAGCCAACAAAACAAAACTAAGCAAAAAAAAACAAAAATAAATGTCTCCTCTGGCAAATCAATGGACCTACGTATTCCAATGTGTATTCAAGATTTATATTGTGATCTTGGCAACAACTGGTCAGAGATTAAGACAGTCCCTGAAGTCCACCGACTTGTGTACAAACACCAGACAGGATCTAAACCCATCAAGGATTCTTGGAGTCGTACGGTCATCCCACGTCATCCCCGGAAAATGTCAGGGCATCGTGCACGTGGCACGTGGAGCAAATGACAAGGCAGGACAGTGCATTCCTTGGATAACTCTGCCGGCATTGAGAAGAAGATCCTCCGACTATGTTCAGAGAAGTACGAAATATTAAACATCTGTCACTAAACATGGTGTTTAGTAGTGCAGACTGCGACAGCTCAATTCATATTTCTCCTGTTGGTTCGATATGATTCAATTAACAGACAGTATAAGGATATGTTTCATATGTGTGTAGGAAAATATGTTTTGATGATGCTGAACACACTCTACAGATCATGCAAAGTGAATAACTTTATACGGTATTTTTGCTTTGTTGTATGGAACATAACTTTTCATAAACATTTGAAACTGATATAGGTAAATTTATTTCAATCAGAACAGTGCTTTAGAAATGACAAAAACAAGCGTGGCTGAAGCAAGATGGAACAAAAGTACCCCCCCATAAAAAAAACAGCAATGAAATACTTTAAATCGTGCATCACACTTACACCTTTTGAATTTCACTGAAGACTGTTGTAAAATGAAACTTTGATTGAACTGATGAAAGAAATGCTCCAGACACATGATATGTGAACAATACCTACATTGATATTTTAACTCCAATGAAATGATTGCTGGACACAAATGATCCCCATACCTGAAATTCCCAAGGCACAAGCCATAAAGCTGCTCATTGGCTGGTGTAAATCACAAGTTGCCACGGCAACCACGAGTCTGGTTGCCGGGTGACCCAGGGTGCAGAGACCGTGCCAATGTCATGTAGCAGACACATTGATGTCACGTCTCCTGGGGTTCTGACAACATGTGTGGTACCTAGGCAACATGGTGAGGTCATGGGGTCAAATGAAGGTGTTAACATTTCTTGCCTTCTCTCTTCTTGCAGCTTCTGGCAGTAAATAATGCTCCTTATCTGACAAGTGTCAGAATGCTGCGTAAATATGGCAAACTGCAGGGGGAGGGGGAAAAGTTTCCATGTAACGATTTTTGATATCTGTTTGTTTTGTTTTGTCTGGTTTATTCAGCTGCAGAAATGTGCAAATGATTCCTAGTTTATTGGCTTAGGATCTCTTTGAAACCTTTCACGAGCAAGTTCTGGAGAGGGCATTTTTTCACAATGTATTAATACATCTGTAGGTTTCAGGTCAGATTGGAGACATCCAATGAATCTGACCTGTTTGGGAAGTTTGATGCACTTGAAGATGATTGTATATACTATTTGATAATCTCACTTTCACAGAAATGAATAACCTATGCAGAACAAAAATTTAAATCTCTGATTTGCTCATAATTTACAATCTAGGCTTGCAGCTGTTTACACTTCCATCATTTTATGGCCTATTCAGGTAACAATTTTTTCCAGCAAGATTGTTTGAACAATTTTGAGAGTCAAATTCTCAGTGGATCGAGTGTTGCATTACTGAAACCAGGATCTTTCTGCACGAGGGGAAATGCAATATGAGTCGGACCAGTGGGTGGTGGGAACCAGGATTTTTCTCCGACTCCCAGTCGTTACAAGGGATTTTATTTCCTCGGAATTCAGTTCCTGAAATGCGAGTATTATTTCTTTGGATTGAGGTTGATCTGTATTTACAGTGCAGATTAAGCGTTTAATAAAATCTTGGAAAAGTATCAAAGTGTAACGATAGGAAAGAAAAGACGACAAGAAAAAAGGAAACTAAACTATGCATATACATGTAGACCCCCCTATATATAGGTAAGAATATGGCTCAAAGGTCAAGCATGTTCAAACCTGCTGATCAATTTTTTCGAGCATAATTTCAATTTGCGTTAATACTGCAGAACAACTGCTTTTCAATTGGGACGCAGCAACAAACAAATGCATAATCTGTGACCACACAGTACTTATATGATGCTTCACTTATCTCACTGGTCACAGTGTCTGCCAAAATCAAGACGTGGTGTTATACGGGTCATCTTTTTCATTTCATCTTTTTTTGCAAGCACGCAAAACTGTGTTCTGCGGGGCAATATACAATGTTTAGAAATATCAAAAATGGTGAAAATACCCAGCACAGAAATTCTCAGGCTTGTTTTGTTTTGTTTTGTTGTTTTTGGTTTGCTAGGGGGCAGAAAAAAGATTTCCAAAAACGAAAAACTTGATTGTCTTAAAGAAATCAGGGCCAAACTACTAGTAAAATTCAAGGTGAACAAATTATACCTCTTTTTTTTTTACTTGGGCACACACAGGTACATCTGGGTCCAGTCAATCAACAAAAACCGCTGAGATCTGACAGGTTGTACAAGTCTTCTGGGCAAGGCCCCAGGAGGACCAAACCTAAACCCTATAGGGTAACACAATGCCCCCCACACATGGCCCATTAGTAATTGTTTAATGCAAAACAAAAGTTATCCCAACAATGGAGTGGGGGGGGTGTTCTGTTACCAAAATCCTGAATGAAGAAATGGCAGAAAATAACACCAGTGTCGAGTAACATTGGTAGTGACAAAATTGTTGTTGCAGGAGAACACACAAAGTCTGATCTGTCTCTCACGAGATTTATTACTAACTTGCTCAATTACCTGGCATTTTTACATCAGAGTTTACAAGTTCACTCCACTCTAACCAGGTACCACACTCACATTTCTGCTACTGGCACACTGCAAGAGACAGGAGTTCATTCAAAGGTGAAAACCAGTGCTTGAAAAATTGATCAAGAAAAACACCTCTACCAGAAAACTTGGCCCCCAATCCAACGCCCACCAGTCTCATGCAAGTAACAGAATGCCAGTTTCGTGACTCTTGAGAAACAAATTTACCACATTGTGCAAGTTGATTCCAAGGCAATGTGTAGGTAACGAAATGAGGCTGATTGTTACCACAGCAATGAGAAATTTTTTCTTTGGCTCACAATGCAAGGTTATGAAGCAGTGCATGCATTCTTATTTTCTTGTGTGCTCATAACCTCCTGACCTCCCCGATAAGAGATGCCAGACTTTTATCAAGGCTGTGTAAAGTAAGCTCTTAAACAGAAGGCCGGGTGTGATCTCAGTGAATAAGAAAGTTCATATTTCTGAAGTGTACATGTACGTGTCATTATTAGATTCTCAGGCTACTATTAATTAGTAGAATGCACTAGTTGGTAGTCCTGAAGACTCATGTAGTGGGATCTGGTAACACGTTGGAGAGGGTTGGAGTCGTAAGGTGTTTGCAGCTAAAATGAAAATTTACGCAATAATTAGACGTGGCAACCAGACCCAACAAACAGATATACATCCTTCTGTTGTAAGTGTAAAATTGTACCAGTTCAGAAAATAATAAAGATAAGGCCCATATGTCAGTCTCAATGCATCTTTTGGCCTCAATCAAATCTGACCCAATTTGCCTTTGCATTGTCCAACTCAGCATTATTTTTCAACCTCAAGACACTGACAGTTAGTTGCAACAAGCACTGTTCTTCATATTACACACACACAAAAACTGCTGGCAGCTTGGTGGGGCAATTAAGGGTGGCAATTAAGGCCCACAAATCAGGACAGAGTTTGGACCGGAATGGAATCTGTCCGAAGCCAGGATTTAATTCCTCACAGTGAGGAGTGACACTGGTGCATCGGTGGGGTGCAATCAAACATCAAGACT